GAAACTTAGTAACCACAGATTCCTGTTGCCAGGCAGGCTATTCCCCAACCCCAACACAGAGAAACATCAGGGCTTATCAGCCGCATTCCAGGGCCAAGAGGGAAGGAGAAAGCCCTGTAGCTTACTTTACAACATATGATTAACATATGATTACTTAAAAAGAACATTTAAGATAAGTGAAACACAAGTGAAATATAAAAGCCCTAACATAAAGCGTTTTTGTATACAGCTAATCCAAAATGGTTATTTCCAGAAGTGTGTATTGATAATAGTATTTATGATCAAATGAGAAGCAGTGGGGGGAAAGAAAACTGGGATAGAGTTACAGAAGATAGATTAAGTAGCTTTGAGTTATTTTTGCAAATATTTACAGATGAATCAAAGGAAATAAATGGGGGAAAACATGTTTTGCATTTGTAATACCGCAAATAGGTTTAGATCATTTCTCTGTGCATTCAGTGGAGATGCTAGCTATATTATTTAGTCTACAATGAATGGAACGAAATAGAAAAGGAATTATATGTACTGATTCATTGTCTGTATCAGTTTCAGTTAAATTGATGTCTACCAAAAGTCGAATAGATATATGAAATTTATGAGACCATTTTCAGGTTAAGGAAATTGGGAGCAGAAGTTCAGTTTTTATGGGTACCAGCACATAGAGGGGTAGAAGGAAATGAAATGGCAGAGTACTATGCAAAAAAGGCAATAAGAGAGGGAACAATAATGAATATTGCATATACTGTTGCTGAAATTAATTCTATCATTAAAGCACGCATAATGGTAGAGTAGCAAATCGTGTGAGAAAAGGAAAAGAAAGGAAGACATTTATTTCAAATGCAAGGGAAAATAGAAAATGGAGAAATGTAAGAATGAATAGTAGAGATCAAAGAATAATATCGATATTAAGAATGGGACATACTGGGTTTAATAGTACTATGTATCTGATACGGAAGCATCCCACAGGTTTGTGTGGATGTCGGGTAGAGAGGGAAATGGTGGAACATGTGTAGTGTCATGAATATCCTGTTTTTGACCAAAAGGTCATGATCTGATGTGTCTGCTTGAGCAGAGACATAAGCCCTTTTCAGACAGACATTCTGGAACATTTGCGGACAATTCAATCCGGTTTTTAACCACAACTGTGTTTTAAGACACACCACTTTTGTACCGGAACTTGTCCTTTCGGCTGCGTTCACACAGCAGGGAAAAGTTCCGGATGTCTGACGGTAGCGGGGGGTGGGGGTGGGGGATCGGACTTATGTTAAGAAGAAGAAGAAGAAACTATAATTTCTATAGTGCCTCTCAAGATAAAAATCATGAGGGGCTTAAGCATAATTCTGCGCACACGAAGACGCATAAGAGACCTGGATGATGAAGCTCAATGGTTAAAGGAATCACTGAAGCGGTGTGAAGCGCTCCGTCGCACGTCTAGACGGTACCGTAGGAGGCAAGCTGCCGTGGTTCGCCGCATGCTACAGCAGCGGGCTATATAGGTGTGCACAGCGTCCCCCGGTCCCCTCCTCCTCCCCCTCCCTCTTGTCCGGAACTTTACCTCACCAGTCTGAAGCAGCCACCCTGTCCGTAACAAGTCCAGACCTGTTACTAGGGGCTTCGTCCGGATAAATTCCGCAACACGTTATCCAGATGTTTGTATTCAGACAGAAAGGTCTTACGGACGGATTCCGGAACATTTCCGTTTTTCATGCCCTGTCTGAAGGGGGCTATAAGGTCTCTGACAGGCTAATCTACATGAGATAGTGGCCAAGGTCTTTCATGCACTCTGCTCATCTGAACTGCTTCACCTCTGTTACAGCGAAGACGAAGAACTATTTTGATAAATACATAATCAACAACTTTGTTGATTACCAATAATAATGTGAGCGTAATGTTAAATCAATCTGTGAAATGACAATGTTATTACTTGATATTATAATCATGTGATCAGTAGTATTTTACAAGTTATTATAATCTTGCACATTTGCACTAGACACTAATGACACATAATGCTAAAGTCACATGACACATTTCCTTTTGTCTGATCCAATAAGAACCTTCGTTTCTGGCTAGGTGTGGTTTTCTGTGGTGTTTGTATAAACCCTCTTTTGCATGTCAAATTCTGATTCGCCAGTAAACCAAAATATGACAATTATAAAAACTATTCCACGCAAATTTTCTTTAGTTCAAATCGTTCTAGAGAAGTCTCGGACAGGCCATCCGGACTTCCTCTTCAGCCATAAAGAACCTCAGACAAGCTGGGAAAATCTGTTGTAAGTTACACCTGACCGCAGCGGTTCCTTCAGAATAATAGCTGAACCTCACGACCCCTTCAGGGTCTCAGAGACGCCAGTGATAACCTGTCGTGACCTGGAAGCATTCCAAGACTATTTTGGTCGGCACCGCTGCTTTTCTACTAGCTTCGGTACCAAAGAGGGTCCACAAGGACCTCGTCGTTCTGGATCTGATCCATCCATCGTCTGTCTCACGTATCTCATCCTGGTTCTGTCTCCCGGATCCTTGCCTCACCTCACCTCACCTCGCCCCTGCTTTGGACCCCTGCCTCGTTTCTTATCATGCTATTGGATTCCCAGATTATTGACATTGGATCTGTCCCCTGACTTTGAGCTCTCGCCTGCCTCCTCGGATCGCTCGCCGTCATCTCTGGTTCTGACCCACGCTTCCACCTGACCATGTCTCAGCCTTCTCCCTGGTTCTGACCACGCCTCTGCCTCACTACAACCCAGCCATCTCTCTCTGCAGTGTTGGTGACAAACTCCTGAATTGTTTGAATAAACATTTAAACGTCTTACTGTGTTCACTGTCCTCATGGGTCATACATCCAAGCTCAGGTCATTACAGAGATGTTGTGTTTGGAGAAGATTCTTCTAAGTTTCTCTGAGACTCCTGCCACGTATGGGATGGTGGTTCCTTTGTACTTGTTGTCCTTTTCTTTGCTGGTTGCTGCTTTGGATGCTTTTCCAGACTTCTTTGTAGATTTCAGGGTATCTGCAGTTCTGGGGAGCTTTCTTCATGTGTTTTTCTTTTTGCTTTCCTTCAGTCTTTGTGGGAATGTTCTCGGCCCGATGGTGTGAAGTCCTGATGACTGACACTTTGTGCTTTAGTGGGTGATGTGAGTCCAAATGTAAATACTGGTCTGTGTGAGTTGGTTTCCTGTAGACTTCAATGCTGAGACTTCCATCTTGTTCAGTTTGCACAGCACAGTCAAAGAAGGGCAGTTGGTTGTTGTGGACATCTCTGGTGAACTTGATGTTCTTATCCACGGCATTAACGTGCTTGGTAAAGTCTCCTACTTCCTTGGTGAGAATTTTGACCCATGTGTCATCCACACAGCTGAACCAGTGGCTTGGCATTGTTCCATTATAGAAGTTCAATGCTCTAGTTTCCACTTCCTCCCTGTAAATGTTGGTGATGATAGGGGACACTGGGGAGCCCATGGTGTATCCATGTTTTTGCTTGTAAAACTTGTTGTTGAGTTTGAAGTAATTGGTAGAAAGGCACAGGTCCAGGAGGGTCCTTCTGTTGTCAACACATCTTGGTAATAAATGTTATCCTGTTACAAATCCTGATTAGTCCTTTACTATGTGGTTGACTAGTGGGGTGAACAACACAGCTAAACATGTAGGTAGCAACCCCAAAATGTTGCATAATCCCCTTCAATATTCTCTTGTTGGTCTTCAATTTTGCTTTTAGTTGCTTGGTGTATTGACTGATTCCACTTTGTATTTTTACAATGTTTGTCAGACTCAGAAATCTCTGAGATTTTGACTAATAAATACCAGGAAAATTTACCATCACACACGGTACCCTTGAAAAAAGTGCTGGCATGCTGAAACGTAGGAAGTGGCGACGGTACTGGTACCGGCCCAAAGCACTGCTCACTGTCCCTAAAAACGATATGAGTCGGAACGTCTGATTAACAGGATCAGTTCCTGGCAGCTGCTTTTTCTCCCTCCTCAAAGCACACAACATTGCACACTGCAAGTTGCGAGATAATTCAACTGGCTCAAAAACTCCACCTTAAACCAATTCTCATAATCACATACAGACCAGACTGAACATGGATCTGTGGCCAGAGCTTTCTTCTCTTTCAATCTCTACTTTTCTGCTACACCTTTCCTGGCCTGTCTCGGTCCATTTTACCTCTGGGGCCAAAGGTGCGGTGGTGCTGTAGCGAGTTATTTTGACATCTGGATACCAAAGGCCGGAAGGATGGTTCTTCACAAAAAATATTCAGTTGAAAGACCTAGTTTGATCTGGTTTGACCTGGTTTGATCCCCCAACAAGAGATTAATTTAGCATGAAGACTGGAACACTTTGCTTGAACTGAATTTTAGTTTGTGTGACTATTCCTTTATAGGTCAGTTTTGGACCAGTCAGATACCAGAGATTGTAGTGGATGTTAACAAAAGTCCTCAGATGTCACCCCTTTTCCAAGAAACTCAAAAAATCTTATTTCACTTACTATGTGAAGTAAATATGATATAACAGTCATTTCTTAATATACTAATATTAATATATGACATAACTGATAATAAAATCGTTATTAAATCATCCAGTAGATTTGTTCTGTGTTTTTAAGATCTAAAATAATGCATTTCAAGTATAAACAGTTATGTTGGTTCATTATTACTCTAAAGCAATCAAGGCATAATTAAATCACTTTAGATAAAACATAACATGATCGTAATTAACCTCAAAAGTGACGAAATTATTGTATGAGACAAAATAACATTATTTTATTAAAGAGCAAGTGATATCTAAATGAACTTTTCTGCTGATAACCTGTATAGATGAGTGTCTAATGGAGCTGTAGACATGTGTAATCTGACATGCAAGGCCTGTCCTGCACTACACAAATAGAAGTTGCATCGGAAAGTGACTAATCAGGCTTTTGAATGGTATACGATTTAAATGACTGTTGCAATGAAGGGAAAAGTAACCATATACTGCATTCTGATTAATTCTCATTTTCCCTGCAGGTTATTCCAACAGAGGGAGGAAGCCTCAGATTGCTCTGGCCCAGATCCGGAGCCTACTGGGATACTTAAACAACACACTTCAGGATCACACACACGAGACAATGCTAGGTATCATTTTAGTTTTCTCTTTAAAGCACCTGTAAAGTTTTTTCCCTCACTTGGAGCGCGAGATCGATAGGTGGATTGGTGCTGCATCTGCAGTGATGCGGGCGTTGTACCGGTCTGTCGTGGTGAAGAGAGAGCTGAGTCAGAAGGCGAAGCTCTCGATTTAACGGCCGATCTACGTTCCTACCCTCACCTATGGTCATGAGCTTTGGGTATTGACCGAAAGAACGAGATTGCGGATACAAGCGGCCGAAATGAGTTTTCTCTGAAGAGTGGCTGGGCTCTCTCTTAGAGATGGGGTGAGAAGCTTGGTCATTTGGGAGGGACTCGGAGTAGACCCGCTGCTCCTCCTCTAGAGGAGCCAGTTGAGGTGGCTCAGGCATCTGGTCAGGATGCTTCCTGGATGCCTCCCTGGTGAGGTTTTCTGGGTACGTCCAACCAGGAGGAGACCAAAAGGTAGACCCAGGACACGGTGGATGGACTCTCTCACCTGGCCAGGGAATGCCTTGGGATTCCCCCGGAGGAGCTGGTCCAAGTGGCTGGGGAGAGGGAAGTCTGGGCCTCTCGCCTTAGGCTACTGCCCCTGCGACCCGACTCTAGATAAGTGGATGAAAATGGATGGATGGATGGAGCACCTGTAAAGGTAAAGAAAAGTGAAGAACCTGAAGGGTCATTGGGTTAATCAGCATGAGTCTCCCAGTCAGAGCTCATGAAGATAAAGACAAGAGGCCACATCCTGTTTCAACACAAATCCAGCAAAGACATTTTAAAACTTCAAATCATTAATAAAGGTGTGGAATTTGATTTGCCTCCTGGCTGGCTTGCCCTTATTATGTAACGTGATTCAATTCAATTCAATTCAACTCAGTTCAAGTTTATTTATATATAGGGAGGAAAACTCCCTTTTAACAGGAAGAAACCTCCAGAGAATCCCGGCTCAGTATAAGCAGCCATCCTCCACGACTCACTGGGAATCGAGAAGACAGAGCAGACACACACACACACACACACACACACACACACACACACACACACACACACACACACACACACACACACACACACACACACACACACACACACACACACACACACACACACACACACACACACACACACACACACACACACACACACACACACACACACACACACACACACACACACACACACACACAAAGACAAAGTAATGTGTCTATAGTTATATTGTGATGTCTTAGTAAATATTGTATTTGGTGAGAGATAAACTTTATTGTATTTATCCTAGTGAATCTATAATTAAACGGATAAACTAGTATTAGCACATCGAACATCAAGGAAAGCAAAAAGTTATTTTCAGGAGAGGGAGAATGTTTGTGATGTAAATGGTTACTTTAAATAAAAAATCAATAAGATGTGATAGTCCATATAAATATGAATTATCAATATTATTGATCATGTTTGATCATTGTTATTTGATTTAAGATTTAAAAATGTTTTTTTGGTAGTTCGGGGAAATCACACCTTCGTAATTATTTGAGACAGAGGCAAAAATATAGTTTATAAAAATCAATTTAATGCTGTATTTCTACTGATGACACAGAACAAATTATGATGGATGATGGTTGAAACAAGATAACTGAGACAATGAATGAAATGATGGAAGAGATGTTATGTAGTAAAATATTATTTAGTGTCTTAGAAAATTGTGATAATGGAGTTGTAAAATAAGTCTGACTGTATGGTTTAACAAACTAGCAATTAATAAAACCATCTCACGCCAGACATGCAGAATCTACAAACCCTTTGTGGCAAAGGCTCCCAGCAATCCAGGGGCCGGAGAAGTCGGTACAGACAGGCTGCCGGTGGAGTTGGCCACTGTGGTATTCAGGGCACGTAGTTCCTCCCCAAATACAGGACTGTCTGGTTTGAGACACCTTCTGGGTCACTGCTGGAAGCTGGAGGAGTGATTTTGCATCTGATGCAGCTTTGCAAAGAATGTTTGACTTTGAGGTCAAAAGAGGATGGTTCAACCCTTACTTGCTCGGCTTGGTCAGGCCGAGCAGATGGCAGGACTCCCTTCAGAGGAACTGTCGACTCTTTTTCATAACTATTATTTATCATTTTGGACAAACCAGAATTTGACAAGTTAAAGTGGGCGTTATCAAAGACCTCAGACACCACTCCTTTCCCAAACACTTAAGAGAGGTTATCTCCGTTAATCTGAAGTAAAAATAACAAATATTAATGTGAAGTTAACAAGTTAAACATTCATAATAACATTATTAATGTGTGAATATACTGATGAAAAAATCATTATTAAATTCAACAAATAGACTAATCTGGTGTAACTTAAGATCTGGAATAAACCATTATAGGAAGGAACATTTGTTACCTCATTATTCTTTACTGTAGCCCAGAGGTGTCAAACTCAAACTCACACGGGGCCGAAATGAAACTCAGGGACGAAGTCGAGGGCCGAGCTTAATATTTTTTGAAAAAGTGACGGCAAATTTGCACATTTTCTTTATCAACATATATGCAATTTTGAACCTTTAAATTTGGAAACAAACTAATTTCTGCATTAACACTGAATGTGGAATAACCAAATTACACACGAGCAAGTCGGTTTTAAATAAAAGGCATCAGTGGTATTCATTACTTGTGGTATATTATCTTAAATGAAAATGCAACATCTCACCTGTTAACTTTCATGTTTTGGAGCAGAAAAAGAGCAGAAAACCAACATATTTAAAGCTCAGTTTGCTCCACTGGTTTACTGTGATGCTCACTTGTTCCAGCCAGATACCTGCATCATGGGGTTGATCTGAGCTGAGGAGACTCCTGTTGTTTTGTTCATCTTCATCATAATAATGACAACATTAGATGACAACAGGTGCTCACATAGGTTTGTGCTGATGAACATGTCTGAGCAGCTTGACCGCGTTGTTGTGTGTCGGGGAGGAAACACGACAGCAACCAGAGTCGTGCTGGTTTGAGCGTGTCGCTATTCGCTGGAGTTATATCAGCTCTGTCTGGACGTTAGTTGGAAAACTTTCTCTTTAAGTCGTGAACACATTACTGAGCGGCTAGAATCTCCGTTTCTGGGTTTCAACGTCAGAAAATAGCTGAGTGAACTCGGCGCTGAGTGAGAGGAGTGTTTAGTTTGTCCGAGACAGCAGAGCTGCAGACACCCGGCAGCAGGCGCTGGAAAAAAAACACAAAGGGGGGGGCGCGTCGGCTCCGCGCTGACGCCGCAAAGCATCATGGGAGTTGAAGTATTTGCGGTAAAATCAGCCAGCGGGCCAGTTTTAATATATTTTTCATATTTATCTCGCGGGCCACATAAAAATGCTCCGCGGGCCGCATCTGGCCCGCGGGCCTTGACTCTGACATATGTGCTGTAGAGCAACTGACATTTTAAAAAAGCTTTAGATTTAAAAACATATTGTAGATATCAGAGAATATGACTGTAGTACTTGTAAACTTAGAAAGTAATTTTATGAGCCAGAAAAGATAACTTTATTAAAGAGGTTTAGATAAAGAGTATTGTGTCTTCACAGGGATCTTGGTGGCTCGTGATATGAAACAGGATCAGTTAAGAGAACTTATGATCGACACCTCCTGGTGTCAGGTTGACACGACCCAAAAAGAAAGTTAACGTCCGGCCATTTACCATACCATACCATACCATACCATACCATACCATACCATACCATATTTATTTATAAAGCACCATTTCAAAATAGCATGGCAGCTAACCAAGTGCTGTACATAAAAAAGCCAAATGCTTGATCAAGAAAAACAAAAGAACAGGCAAAATACATAAGAACAAAGCATAAATAGTCGGAGATAAAAATTCCTACTAAAAACAATAAAATAGGAGAACAGTTAACAGCACTATAAAAAATAAAATTGTCACAAACTCCTCCAGCTAACTCCATTTCCCAGCATTCTCGCCACCATTTCCCATCATTCCCGCCACCAACGTGGCCGCCGTCGTCATCACGCCGACACCATATTAGGAAGTGCCGGCATTTCATTCATTACTCTGTCATCATTCTCCCCAGACTTTGTATCGAGTTCCCAGGCTTACCAGCCTTCAAACCTTCAAACCTGACCTAAAGGATATAACCACGCTGGTTATCTCCATCACTACGCGTCTGGGCAACAGACCTTCTCAGCCACGCTTCAGCTCTGCCACCGAACCTGACAGGATGACAGAGTCTCAAGTTGACCCAGCGGAGTTCGCTCGTCTGCGTGTTGAAGTGGCTGAACAGCGCGCAACCATGGATCAGCATACGGCAGAGATGAACCAGCTCCGTGTCGTAGCTGATCGCCAAGCCACAAAGATCGAGTCACTCACCGAGCCAGTTCTCCAGCTTTTCACCGCTCTGCAACCGCAGCCGTCACCGACAGGATGGAACCATGCCTCAGCCTTCCAGAGAAGTGGGACGGAACCAGGGGGTCCCCGGAGGGCATGCTGGCGACCCTGGCCATGACTTTTGAGTGCCAGCCGGCACGCTACCCCACATCCTGCTCTCGTGTTGCCCTGCTGACCTCACTGCTGACGGGTTGAGCCGGTGAATGGGCGGCGGCTCATTATAATCAAAAATCTCCTGCCTGCAATGACTATGAGACTTTTGTGAAGGAGATGAAAAAGACATTTGTGCACCCCAGCAGCGAGGTCTCGGACGAGACTCGGCTGCTTCAGCTTCGCCAGGCCTCCCAGACGGCGGCTCAGTACACCTCTCACTTCCGAAAGACAGCCGCTCGGTTGAGGTGGGATGACGCCACCCTAAAGGCCGTTTATCTGGAGGGATTGTCACCTAGAATCCGGGAGAGCATGATCGGGCACGAGGCCCCAACCTCCCTGGGCCTGGCAGTGGATCTGGCTCTCCAACTGGACCGCTGTATCCTGAACCGGCCGAGCACCATGTCAGCTCCCGTAGACACCAGAACGTCACACTGCCGTCTGGCTCACCAACCGACGGAGGAGCCGATGCAACTCGGACATCTCCCCC